CATCGCTCTGTGCTGTTACCACGCAAAGCACTGTCAGGAGAACAAGTGTCCCGTCCCGTTCTGCCTGAACATCAAGCACAAGCTCCGCCAGCAGCAGCTGCAGCACCGCCTGCAGCAGGCGCAGCTCATGAGGCGGAGAATGGCCTCCATGCAAGGCAGAACCATGCCGCTACCGTCCCCCCCAGCCTCTGCTGCCCCCAGCACTCCCAGTGCCCACACCCAGCCCAACACTCCTCAGACCCCTCAGCAGCCGCTCTCCAACCAGCCGCAGACCCCCAACTCGGCAGGCGTCATGTCCCCAACTTTTCCCAACGTTCCTCGCAACGGGCAGCCTCAAGCACCGGTGTCCCAGGGCAAACCCGGGCCCCAGGCTTCCCCCCTGCACCAGCAGCAGTCCCCTCTCCCCCAGCCCCCGCCCCCTCAACAGCTCCAGCAGCAGCCGCCCCTCGCTGCAGTCAAGATGGCGCGGCACATCGAGATGATGGCACAGGCCCAGCAGCAGAACCAGCAGAACTACCGGGTCAACATGAACGGCTTAACCATGAACCCCCAGCAGCCTCAGCAGCGCATGCCCGTGCCGATGCAGCAGCCCATGCAGATGGTGCCGGGCCCCCGCGGACCCCAGGTCATGCAGCCCGGCATACAAGGTCAGTGGCCAGGAGCCGCGGGGCCGATGCAGGCGGCTCAGAACCAACAAGTGGGCCTGGTACCGGGCCAGGCGCCGCAGCAGGCCCTGAGCATGCAGCGAGGCCTGATGGTCCCGGGGCAGCAGCCGGGCCAGAGGATGATGATTCCCCAGCAGCCTGGTGCTCGGCTACAAACGCCCCAGAGACCGGGAGCCATCGCACCAAACGCCCTGCAGGACCTGCTCCGCACGCTCAAGTCTCCGAGCTCCCCCCAGCAGCAGCAGCAGGTCCTCAACATCCTCAAATCAAACCCTCAGCTGATGGCTGCTTTCATCAAACAGCGAACAGCCAAGTACCACGCCAACCAGCCGCAGCAACCGCAGCAGGCGGGTCAGCAGCCGCAGCAACCAGGCATGCCAGGGATGCAGGCCATGGCCCTGCCAGGGGGGGCAGTCCAGAGGCCGGCGATGCCCCCCCAGCAGCCGCAGCAGCCCCCTGCACAGGGCTTGGCTGCATTAGGGGCCCAAGGGATGATCAACGCAGCGCACACCAACCCACAGATCCAGGAGCTCTACCGTCGGCAGCTTTTAAGACAACAACAACAACAACAGCAGGGGGTGATGCCTCAGGGCCATCCAGGCCAGTTCCCGGCTCAGACGCAGGGCACGGCAGCAACATACTCCCAGCTCCGCATGCAGCAGCAGCAGATAGCCATGCAGGCCAATGCAGGAGCCGCCGGGGGGCCCATGGGACCACTGCCCCCCATGGCTCAGATGGCCCAGCCCGGCATGGTGATGGACTCCACCAAGGCCTTACTGCATCAGAGAATGCTCCAACAGCAGCAGCAGCAGGCCCTCCTCAAGCAGCAGATGGGCTCTCCTGCACAGCCCAGCCCCATGAGCCCCCAGACCCACCTGCTGGCTGGCCAGCCCCAGGGTGGAGCCCACCTCCCCGGACAGCCCACACTAGTAAACGTCCTCAACAACCAGGTCCGCTCCCCCGCCCCGGTCCAGTCCCCCTGTCCGCCCTCGCAGCAGCAGCCGCGGCCACATTCCAGCCCCTCCCCGCAGGTCCAGCCCCAGCCCTCGCCCCAGCACCCGCACCCAGCCCACTCTGGTTCCCCCCGCCCGGGACTAGGGGGCCCGCTCTCAGGGTCCCTGGAGCAAGGACACATGGGGACACCAGAACAAAGCGCTATGCTCCCGCAGCTTAACACGCCTAACAGAGGGGGGCTGAACAGTGACTTGGGTTTGGCGGGAGACGCTACAGGGGACACTCTGGAGAAGTTTGTGGAGGGATTGTAGCATTTTTGCTCGGAACTAAAAAAAAACAATCTCCATCCCCACTCTATTTTTCCTCGGACTCTTTATCCGATGGAGGGCTTTGTTTGTTCTTTCTAAGGTTGAGAGCATTTTTTTGTACTGACGTGTAAAAAGTTTCAACTGTTGTAAAAAAGGAAATTTGGTCGAGGAAAAAAATAATAAAAAAAAGTTAAACCTTCGAGGGAATGTAATTGTTTCCTAAAAGTTGCTTCTCAAATGGAATTTAAATCACAAAGAATATATTTTTTGGTTGAGACCAAATGTGTTCAATACTCAATTTATTTTTGGTTTGTTTTTGGTATGTTTTCATGCCTTTCTCCTTTCTTTTTTAAAAAGAAAATGTACAATTGCATTATATTATTCATATCTTTTTATTTTGTACCTTTGGAAAAGAAACTTAAATAATTGTTGTGTTGAAACTGTAAAATAATTTGTCTGGGAATTTGGGCCAGGTTTTCGTTCTTTTCTCAAGCTGTTATTCCTGGCAATTGTAATCTAGTGTTGTACGATTACTCCGAAACGATGCGTTCAGGGACCGCTCCCCTCCTCGTTGTGTGTATGAAGAGCACTCAGTTGTATTGAAATAGGAAATGGACTGCGGCGGTTGTTTATACACGGGCATGTACACAGGCGCACATGAAGACACTCACACAAACCCTCACTGTCACCGAAATAACTTCAGCTGGTTTCACAAACACAGAAAACAAGGACTGCAACCTACATCTCAGTTGCCTGGAAATGGGAAAACGTTGTCTTGCTGGTGTGGAACATTGTTGCTTTGACATTAAAAAAATAATTTGTCATACTTTTTGTCATACAAATGTTGTAAAGTGTAAAAAGAGTGTGAGAAAGAGACCAGCCCCCTAAGCTGAGGTGGAATGATCACCGGTTGTTTGTCGGACACATCTCTGACGGAGCCACATCCTCTAAATGCTACACTAAGCTGTGTGCGATAGAGATGAAAGGCACGTTTGAGATTCACCCTGAGGAATATTTCATCAACTCTCATTCCTCTCACTAAAACTTGAATTAGGGGGATTTACTTTTTCTCCTATTGTAAATCAAGTTAAGCAAAATACTATAAATATAAGGAAGAGAGATGAAATCACTGTATAAACTGGTTAAAGACTCATTTCTTACTTATATACCATATTGTTAAATAAACTGTGCAGCAGAATATCTCCAGTACTCTGTTGACCAAATAATGAAGCATCACTCCTGTGTGTACCTCCTTTGTTTCAGATCAGTTTTCCCCATCAGCATTAAGGTTGCGCTTAAAAAGGTGGTGAGTTTGAAGTGTCATAGTTTCGGATCAGAGTGCATGAGTTTAATCGGAGTAGCAATTTGTAGATGAAGCTGACATTTTGTAAGCGGTTACTAAAATTACCACTTAAATTTACTAGCAGGATTATTGTCATAAACTGTTTCTTTAGCATTTTTATTTGATAGATTTTTTATATCAGTCCTGTCAGGATTCCATGCTCATCATAAATATACCCTTAGAGTACACTATAGTTACAGTGATATTGGAAGGAGGGTGAAGATGGTGTGTTTAGCTTTTAAACACAATTCTAGCAGCAGTAATCTCAGTTTTGTCAGACATATCCAATATCCTACTTTAGGGAAACAATTAGAATTACAAATTGTCTGAGTAAAATAAGCCGAGGGAACACAGACATAATCTCAGTACTAGTATTAGTACCAAGACAAGTACTGGGTGAAAACAAAAAGTATCAAAGTTATAGATTGTGAAAAAGTATAAGCAGTACATACAGAATAAATAAATGCAATACAGATGCATTTGAAGCATATTAAAAGTTCCATCAATTCCCAACTAGCGAAGGGAGAAAGCGTAATGTTTTCCTTAATTCTTCTGCAGGTCCATGTGTAATCAATAGGCTTGTTTGAGATGAGCTGCGGCTCGCCTCGAAAGTAGACGAGAATAGCCGATTGCAGCTGGGGGAGGTCTCAAAAAGCTTGCCTGAAGTCGGACGGCTTGGAGTCGGCATGACTCGGTTTGCATTTATAAAGAATGCACAAATGTGTTTAATCGTTAATGTCAGATATGTACTAAGTAGATACATTTGTTCCTGCTCAAGATTAGATTCAACTTTATTGTTATTGCACAGATTACAGGTACTGAGACAACGAAATGCAGTTTAGCTTCTAACCAGGAGTGCAAAAAGCAGTAAAGTGAAAAGTAATGAACACAATCTACAGAATAAAATATAGAATGATGAATAAACAGTGAGGGGTATGAATACACTAGATATACATAGTAGCCTATGAGCAGTATGAACAGTATTAACAGTGTGTATGAATATGCTAAGATATATAAAATATGAAAACGGTATAGTGCAAGTATAGTATAAAATATATAGATATTAATTTCATGATGATAAACATTGAGGAACAATGATGACAAATTTCATTGATTGAAATTGTTTCACTGATCCACGTCCCCTGAGCCAAACGATAACTTCTGGCAGCTATCCTACTTGCTAAGGCTAGGCAGATGGACTGGGGTACGTTGTAATGTGATTTTACATGTTATAAGGAGAGTAGCGAGTGACGCAATTTATAGTTTTAATTTGTACGTCACCAGGTGTAGGACTCAAAGGACTCGGGTTAATGGAGAGGGGAGACTCGTCACGACCAGCTCATTACTAGGATCCGGGTTAATGATCCGGATGAATCAGGACTCACCCATCTCTACCGGTCAGGTAGAGACTGGTCTCCAGTCAGCACCGCTGCAGACTCGCTGTTTGAGGGCTTGATAGCCCACTCCCCCTCCATACCGCTCCACACTCGTTGGTTTGGAACAGCACTTAATGTGGCGGACCCTCCGCGCGAACGCGCAAACGGAGGGGTAGGGTGTAGGGGGCGGTTTGGGATTGGGCCTTATACATCCATGGAAGGAGCCCATGCGACCCATGGATGTACTGTGGCACTCGCAGGTCTACGTCAGTCTCGCTCATTGCAGTCACGTGACCTGGAGAGCCCACCATTCGCTCGTTCACCGTCACATGACCGGAAGCTCAGAATAAAGCGGTTGAGTAACTCCTTTTGAAATGAAAACAAACCACTTTAGCGGCCTTTTGACTGTTCTTATTGCAATATAATTGACACATAATGCCGCAGATATTTTAAAAATAAACTAGAATCGCTATTTCTACACTGGTGAATAAACAGTGATAAGGCGGAAAGCTAAAACTAAAGAGAAAATGCATCAAACCTGTGTGAGGATACAGGGTTAGCATAAACAGTTAGCTAACGTTAGCTGGTAACAGGACATGCAGGGATGGACTTCTAATGTGAGACAAAGTGCTCCATCATGGATGACTCGGACCAGGACTTTGTGGACCTTTGCTCTAAGCTTCTAAAACGAGTCCGCAAGAAACCAGGTGAGTCCAAACAGCCAAAGAGAGCAGAGCACCAGCCCTCCTGTCAGGCAAGCGATGGAGACAAGAGGAGAAGAAATACCAGGAGAGATGTTGCTGACTCTGGGTCTGTTAGTACTGCTGCTGCGGACGGAGAACAGCCTGTGGTGGGTGGAGGAACTGGGCATGATGCAGGAGGGGCTGAGGTGTTAGCTGTACCTTCAGCAGCAGCAAGACAGAGAGCAGAGATAGGTTTGACTGCCAAAGATAAAGTCCTCCACAGGATGCAACAGTTCAAGAGAGCCAGTCCACAGAAGATTGTGTACGAGGACAAGAGCCAGCCCTCCCATCAGGAGACTGAGCCTCCCCCACCTCTGGCACCGAGACAAGGTGAGATGCTATGTGCTCCTGGCACAGATTGTTGATATGAAGCATTGTTGTAGAGGGAATGCAGATATTGTTTCCTCTCGCTGTCTGTTTTCTATTGTATTTGGTTTGTATATGCCTGGTTTTAATGGACTGAAATGTCCTAGTCAGGGCATGAATCATTATTTTGGGACAGTTAATATGTCCCAACATGAAACATATGTCAGAAGGAGACTTCTATTAGGTCTGTGAGGTTTTACTGGAATAAACAAAATAATTGAATACCAGCGCCATTTGTGTGCTTAAAGCAAATATTCAAATGCTTAACATGGGAGGCTGTGGCTCAGTGGGTTAGTGCGCTGATCTTCGAATCAGAGGATAGCAAGTTCGAGTCCCACTGCAGTCAGCATGTCGTTGTGTCCCTGGGCAAGACACTTCACCCCAAATTGCTCCTGTCGGGATTGCCCACAGTACTGAATGTATGTAAGTCGCTTTGGATAAAAGCGTCTAACAAGTGAAATGTAATGTAATTAACATATTCATCAGGATGCCTAAACTGAGAAATTGCAGAGATTGGGATGTCAGATCAGTGTTAAGTATTGTGTTTTTGTTAAGTTCTATTGAAGCTTTATTGCTAAGAGCAGACGCACAGATCACATTATCAGTACATTATACAGTCAGAATATTATACTAATATATAATCTAGTTTTAGTATCACACAATTGTAATTTAAGCACACCTTTTATTTGTATCTGTAGTATTAGTGTAGTAGTATTGAAGCTCTATTGCTAAGAGCAGACACACTTGTAACTAAATCATGAAATCAGAACATAATTCACAGTAACAATATCATTTTCACACATCATCTAGTTCTAGTATCACACAATTGTAATTTAAGCACACCTTTTAATTGTATCTGTATGTGCCCCCTCCCCTCTGTACTCAGGACCTCCAGAGTCCTCCAGCTCCCCCCTCCCTCCGGACCCCCAGGATGGTGACGAGGCTCTGGCCCTGCGGCTGCAGCAGGAGCTGGACAGGGAGGCAGCAGGGGTCCAGAGTGTGGACCTGGAGGAGGGGGGGCTCTTCTTCTGTCAGATCTGCCACAGAGATCTGTCACACATGACCCCAGAGGGACGAACGCAGCATCTCAACAGGTGTGCACATTCACATTGTACCTGTGAAGATTTTAATCAGTGGGCGCACAATTCACCTGGCTGAAACTGAGACTGATTCCTCTCTGCAGGTGTTTGGATCAGAGTGAAGAGAGCGCCCCTGCTCCCCCTCCCCCGCCTCCTGGGCTCCCCGACTGTCCCATCTGTGGAAAGAAGTTCAAGTCCCAGAAGAGTCGCTCGGCCCACCTGAAGCGCTGCTCCTCAGATATGGGGGTCGCTCCGGCGGTGCTGCTGCAGGCGCTGCACAGACAGACTGAGGAGACCCCGAATGTCCCCGCCACCAACACACTGTGAGACCACCTCGCTGTGTCGTAGTAACTTAAAATCAGCTGCTCTCTAGAGAAAATGATGAGTTTGGCAAATATGCAAAGAAACACAATATCGATATAAAGTATTTTAAGATATTTGTTTAAAGGTCTCCTATTATACTCTTTTTCATCAATATATTCGAAATACCAAACAATACATCGTGCATTGTAGCATCCCATAATCCCCTCTGTTTCAGCCCTGTTTCAAAAGTGCTGATTCTCTGTCTGTTACTTTAGAGAGATATTTGGTTAAAAATAACACAATGGTGCTCTAGGAGGAGATTCAGGTGATAAGGTGGGGGGGGGTTACCTTGGTTGGTGATTGGCTAATGGTTACACAAGCCAAAACATCGTTATGACATCATAAAGTGGCCAAAATCTGATCAGCTCATTTTCAGACAGGTTTTTATATAAATGGATCGGGACAAAAAGAGAGAGAATCTTTTTTCCTGAAACTTTCAGAATCTCTTTACACAGAGGGGACACATGTATAAAAGACATGAAAAAGTGGATTTTGCATGACAGGTGACCTTTAATGCTTACAAGCATGATGACTCCTTCTGAGTGTGTCCTGCTGAGTGTGTGACAGACTCTCTGAAAGGGAAATATTAAAGATCATTGACATGGCAACGCAACGACATTCGGGCGCAGGTGGTCGCCCTTTCACAATAAGAAACACTCGCACCCTACAAATGTTCTTCTCAGACATAAGGATTTAAAACACTTGAAAGGATATCACTTAGATAAAGTTAAATGACACTAGGATTACACTTTATTAAGCTTTAATACCATAATTGCCACAACAGCTGCTTCAGTCTAGCTACAACAAACCTTCTAAAGCCAGTTCAAAAACACAACTTCTGTCATTGTTTGGTTTTGTTTTGTAAAGTTTTCTTGTGTAGTAAAATAACTCCATCTGCGTTTGTGACAATGAGTTATCCTTAATCCTTGAACCAAGAATACACTATGACACACCTCTGTGCTCTCCGTTGGTTCCAACAATTAAAGCACTTCCTCCAAAAGCATTTTCGAGACATTCAAAATGTGGCTTTTGAAGATGATACACACATCTCTGATAGATTTTTCCAATTGCCTTCAATCGACAGTAGTACAAACAAAGCCTAATCAAACCTCTCTTTAACCTTCAGAACAGAGACTGGTGGCAATAAAAGAAAAGGCCCCTCCATCCCGAGCCTCCGACCGAGGAAGAAGTCCAGGAAGAAGACGGCTCCTCTGGATGAAGACACCCTGGTGGCCCTGGCTCTGTCCTCCTCTCTGCTGGAGCAGGAGCAGCGGAGTGAGAGGGAGACGGAGAGGCTTCTACAAACAGCTGCCCCCAACACCTCCATGACTGCAGCGCTGAAGTGGAGGCCAGACAAGGGTACAGTGACATCACAATATCGTCTGTTAGTCAACACAAAACAGCCTTTAGATGAAGCACAGACATACAGCAGGGAATGTTACATCTCAGTGTAGTACAATTTATGTGTGTAGCTTATTATATGCAACCAATTTTCCATTTTGTTATAGAAAGACCAAAGATTTGTGTTTTGGGAGAATTAAATGACTTTTTGCTGATGAGCCAGAACAAACTGGCATCAGACGCTCAATGTGTTCATGGTCAAATCCATCAAAACAAAGGATTCAGTTGTATTAAATATACACAGAGCAAATGGATGCTGCTTTTATACCATGGACACATAACTGGTGATTCTGATTGGATGTGGGGTTTGTATATATTACATATCATTTATATTAGATACTTTTTGTGTATATTTTTTTAATGTGTGCATTGCTGTTGGCTTCAGCTGTGTGAGGGCTTCTGCTACATGTGACAATGCAGCACAGGGAAATCTTGTCCAAGACAGAGAAAAGCAGTGCAATAAAAAAAATCACCTAAATCAATAGTGACAAAAGTTTGATTCAATAAGGAACCAAAGTCATGTGTGCTCTGAACGTCTTGATAATCCTTTTACTGTAACAAGTGTTATATTTAATTTAAGAAACTCTGATATGCCTAGAGGCAGTTTTCGTGTTTCCTTTTTCATCTTGGAACAATTGAAGAATAGTCTGTGTGGTATGTGTCTGCAAGGCACAAACTGTTGAAATGATTCACAATGGTTTTATTATTACCTAAATTCATATAACAAATCTCATATTTTAGTATTTAAAGATTAGACTTTAAAAACTCGAGCTCTGTGCAGATTTATCATCCAACCCCCCCCTTTCTTTTTGCTCTTGTTGCAGGTAAGGGCCGTGGAAAGAGGAGAAAGGGAGGAGTCCCCCGCCCCCCCCCGCTCCTCCTGGTGCAGGATGCCCAGGCGGCTCTGACCAGGCTGCAGGAACGCGTCTCTGCTCTGCTCCTACGCAGCCGCCCCCCCTCGCCCCCCACCCCCACCCGCCCCCCCAGCAGCCTGCCTGGCTGGAGCGGGGCGGCCCCTCTCTGGCAGAGGAGCTCCCTGCTGGACGGAGCCTCCACCTGTGAGGCTGACTTCTACACCCCCGAGCTCAGAGAGTTCATCACCCCCTGGGACCCGGCGAAGGTGAGACGGCAAAGACATGTTTATTCTGTTTTATTTTTGACTGAATGAGGAATGTGAAGGAGACTACATGTTGAGGTCATGTTCTTTTGAAAAAAAACGTTCAGTACCAGCTGCTAATTAATCCGATCACAGCTGATTTAAATAAAAACTTTTCTCCTCCATTTTATTTTAGAAGGATGCAGCCTCCTCCAGCACCATAACCAGGCCTATCACTCCTGTTCTGCCTGTGAGTGAAGGAGCTCCTGTCACAGGGACTGGGGTCTCCATTCTTCCAGCCTGCACCCCCCAGACGGCCCCCTCCACCCCGGGGGCGGGGCAGCTTCCAGCAGGCAGCCAGGCTGTCCTGATGGAGCTGATGGAGCTGGCCGAAGACGGCGTGACCCTCACTCAGTATGGTCGCACCGCCCCAGGCCCGGACAAAGGTAAACACACTGATGTTGGGGAAATACAAACCTATCTAACGGTGACTCACACTTGCTCTCTGGTTAAACCTGACATTTTAACAAAAAGTTGGAGAGTCTTATAAAATATTTGCTTTAGAATTATTTAACCATGCGCATTAAGTGCTTGCCCAAAAGCTTGTGTTTGCTTGCAAACTAAAGCCTCACATGAGCACAGTTAGTAAGGGGTTCCAACCGAAAGTCTGTTTCTTACAAGCTAAACATTTATTTTTTATATAAAGTACATAAAGTGTTCATTATTGTGTGTCCATATTTAGAATTATATCTGAACAAATACGTTCTCTTTACTTTCTGTCTCCAAAAGCATTTTCTTAGCCATACCTGTCCCAAGAAGATTACATTCCTCAGTATTTTTTAAAAGCAGAAAAACACAAAACCTTTATAAAATCTCGATGAAAATGTATTTTATGTTATAGTTAAGAAATCTGCATTGTTTTGGAGAAATGAAATACAAAATGATTAGATATTTCTTCTAAAGTAATGTTTTTGATAAATACCTGTTTTATGAATTGAAGTTTGTCTGTGATAACATTTGGGAGACACTCCCCCACATACTGTATTAAGTAGTGATTTAAAGGGTCCTGATGTGTCCTTCTTCCCCCAGATAAGAGCGGCAGTCAGATCACGACCCTCCGTCTGAGCGGCTTCGTCCTGGAGGAGCCTGAGGAGCCGGCTGACCTCGGTGTGAGCGGCTTCCTGCCAGAAACTGCACACACACATCCAGACGCTCACAGCCGAGCGAGGAGGAGAACAGATCCTCCAGGGGCCGATCAGGAGCGCCAAACAGTAAGACTGCTCGTAATCACACTTCATCTGATATTTGACATGGATCCTGAGCTCACAATCTTGTCAGATGCATATGTGAACTACAGGAAATTATTTTCTTTAGTAAAGGTAAGAATCTTTCCAATTTAGTGTTTCATAAGCAACTACTAGATATGTTTTAGAGTCCCCTTTTATCTTACTTCTTCTTTATCTTATTTCACTTTAAGAAATGCGAAATACTTTTCTCATATTGCAGATTAAAAAAAAACGTTTTACCGATTTATTTCTTTACGAAACATACGTAAACGTACACTGAATGTACAACAAAAGAAAAGAAAAAACAACGGTGGGCATTATACTCCAAGACAGACGAGTCAGAAGTGTTGGTAACATCTGCAGAGGAATTCAAATATATTGTTTTGGGGAAATCTACACCAACACTCAGATAAAACTAATGGAGTGGAATAAGAATGCAGACACGCTGCATTCGGCATCCAACAGAACGTTGTTTAATAACTGTAAAGTTGGGAGAGTTAATTTAAGATTTCTAAGCCCCTGAAATGTAACTCTGTCTTTCTTAGAAGCGTTTCTCTTCATTAGTGTCCTGTAAGTCCGTTGTGTGACAAAGATATTTTCTACAGATGAAGCATGCAGTATTGTATGCCTACTGGGCCTTCACATATTATTGTCTAACGCACTGACTTCTCTGTGTCCTCTGGTGAAGGCAGCACAGAGCAGACTGACCTCAGATCTGAGCAGCATGGTGAACAACCCTCAGCTCAGCGACCTGCAGCTGCAGGTGGACAGCGGAGACGTCTTCTTCGCTCATTCCTTCATGGTGTACGCTCGATGCCCCCTGCTGGCTGAAATGGTAACTTCCATCACTGCGTGTTGCACAACACAGCGCTGATAATACCAGAACCAGGACTGCATGATCTTTTAATTATAGGCTTTTAAATTAAACATGTTGTATAACTTGAGTCATTTCACCTCCTCATTCTGCCAAGCAGAGGTTCAATACTGAATATGTTCCCCTATTGGTCTAACACTTTGTTTTTAAAGAGGTGGGTTTTTGTGTGAGTATTTTGTAATGAAAATAATCAGTGTTTTTAATTTTTACAAGAGCTGTGTCCAAACAGATGCATAACAATGTGTGATAGACAGGAACATGTCATTTTGTTTCACGTTTGCAGAAGACTGGAGAGCAAACCGTTTTTTTCAGCAGTTAAATAGCGAGAGATGGATTTGAGCGTCGTATTTTGTTGATGTGCTGTACATTTTGGAAATCATGATTTATGTTTTAAATTCGTTTTGGGCTTTACAACGCACAGTTATTTCGACATTTTCCAATTGCACAAGTTAGAAAACGCAGTTCATGAAATGTAATTTGACAAATTCAATAGTAGTAGTAATATTAGTGTGGTTGCCTAATCTTTATATTCAGATTGCAAAAACATAGACTGCAAATCATTCAAGCTTCAAACTTTTTGCAGCCGTATCAGTTTAGTGAGCACATGTTTCATAAGGTCTACAATGAAACCTCTCCTCTCCTCCTCCCTCTGCTCCTCTCTCAGGTACATGAAAGTGGTTTTGGGGTGCAGGAGGAGGGGTCTCCTGCAGCTCAGAGGGTTCTGGTGAACGACGTCCCGGGACAGGCCGTGTTAGCTCTGCTGCAGTACCTCTACACCGCCCGCTGCTCCATCCCACCGGCCCTTCAGCCTCATGTCCTGGAGCTAGCATCCAGGTTAGTTTTCAGTATACAAGCCAGGACATTAAACACATCTTTGACTCACAATTCAAAACCATTTTGGTCTGGTTAGTTGCTGTCTGACTTGAATGCACATAATCACAGTCAAACATGTCAGTTCAAATATCAAGTTGAAGTTCATATACTCTCACAACATTTCTAGAAAACCATTGTTACCAAGATAAGATAAGATAAGATAGGACTTTATTTATCCCGAAGGAAATTGTTGTGCCAGAGTTACAAAGATAGAATAAACACAGCAGCATAATAATACAACGGTACACTAACAGTGCAGTAAAAAGAGCAATTCAATAACTACAAATTCTTAACATAAGTGAAGTGATGCGTTTCCTTGACAAAAAAAACTTAATTTCTCACTTAAGTAAGACTTTATAATCTCAGAATATTCCAGACTTTTTCTTGTAAATATACGACTGTAATCTTTGAAACTTGTGTTTTACCTCAGAATATTACCCCTCGCCCTTAATTACTATTTAGTTATGAGATGTTTTTATCATCTATTTAAAGTCTGATAAATCTGCATATATTCTAAATTGGTTGTCTGTGAGAAATATATTAAATAAAGTGTTGTGACGACCCTTCCTCTCCTTTTGTGTTTGCTCAGGTTTGACCTGCAGGAGCTCCAGCAGCTATGTGAGCCGGAGGGCTTCCTGAACCAGGAGGAGGACGCCAGCGATCAGATGCAGCAGACCCTCGGCGAGCTGCTGCGCTCCATGTGGGACGAAGAGGAGGACGAGGGCGGGGACACAGACGGAGGAAGGGAGGAAGAGCGAGAACTGGAAGACGATCATCAAGCCGAGGACCTCGCATCGGCTGACAGAGAAGAGGAGAAGGTGAACGAGGAAGAGCTGGAGGAGATCTATGAGTTTGCAGCAACGCAGAGAAAAAGGGAGGAGGAAGACAGCATAGAGGAGGAAGAGGAGGAAGAGGAGGAAGAGGAGGAAGAGGAGGAGGAGAAGGTAGAAGAGGAAGAAGGTGGAGATGACGTTTTCGCTGAACTGACAGAACCTGAAAAAAGCTCAGCGGGCTTCAACGAAAAAGAGCATTTGCAACCGGACCCCAGCCTGGAGCGCAGCTACAGCCGCCTCTTCTCCGACTCCTGGGGGGTCTACGAGGAAGACCCTCCCTCCGTACCCTCCACATCCGGCCTCGCTAGAAAACACACCCCTCAAGCCCCACAAGCCCCACAAGCCCCTCATATACCCTCTCTTCACCCGTCCGGAAGAACTTTGCTCCAGTCTTCAGCGAGTGGAGTGGAGGACCTCTCTCCCAGCCCCCCACCCAGCACCTCCACCCTGCCCATCCCGGGTCTGTCTCCTGGGCTCGGGGGGGGCGGAGAAGAGGGGCAAACTTTGAGGCGAGAAAGCCAAGGTCGGCGTAGTATTCCCGTTCCCCACTCCCTAGTTTCACCTCAGGAAAATGAGCCTGAGTTAATAGTTTTGTCCGACTCGAGCGAGGACATGGAGGTCGTTCTTATTTCCCGCAGTCCTTCCCCACCGTCCCCTTACCCCGTCCAGACTCACACCTACACCCAGATTAAACCCAATGACCCCACCCTGGAGAATAAACGGAGTGGCAGTTTAGAGTTGAGTCTGGATGGAGAGCCGGGTCAGAGTCCTTCAGATCTGTTTGGCTGTTCTCCAGAAGTTTCCTGGCTGATCCCCTCCACGCCTCTCCAGACAAAGAGGGTCTCCACCAGCAGCTCCACGCAGACTCAAAGCAGCATGTGCAGGACGCAGCTGTTCCCTAAAGCAGACCCTTCCTCCCTCTCATCCTTCTCTCCCCCTGCTTTACCTTCTAACGACAGACCGCACACCTCCAACAGTCCAACCAGAGCTTCATCTCGCGTTAGCCCGACGGAGGCTAACGCGTTAAAACTGGACTTCAGTTCTAGAAGAAGCCGCTCTTCTGATGCGAGTAAAGACAGAGGAGTGTTTGCAGTTCCCCTGTCCCAACCTAAGCTCTCCATCTCCTCAAAGCAGGGTACCCCCCCCCACCTCCAGACCTCCAGCCGGCCTTACAGCAGCACTCCCCTGCACACGGAGCTCCACAAAGCCCCCGCCCTCCTGACCACCTCTCCGCTCAGCTGGACGAGTCAGGGAAAGGACAGGGCGCCATGTGAGAGCCAGGAGAAGATGGAGCTTGGGAGCTTTCATCTCTCGCCGCTGTCGGACCCTTCAGATCCACCCTCATCTTCCTCTCTCGGAGGCCGTCAGAGACACAGCGAGTCCTCGAGTAACAGCCGGCGCTCTGTTGACAGTCACAGCAAAACAGGGTCTGAGCTGGAGAGGAGGGGGATGAGACTGGAGGAAGGACAAGGAGAGACGGAGTGCGGAAATAGAGGCAATGAAGCAGAAACTGGAGAGGCAGAAGTCGCTGAGTCTAGCTTCAGGCAGAGCATCATGGACGAGCCCCCCATGGCGTTCAACGACTCGTGGGGTCTGGGCGCCTGCGGGGACGAGGACCCCGGCTGCTTCAGTCTGAGGCTGGAGGACAGCGGGGCGTCCAGCCAGGGAAAAGACCCTCCGTCCTCCACCGAGCGGCAGCCTCCCCCCCCCCAGCCTCAGGCCCGCCCCCTCTTCATCCAAATCCACTGCTCATAAAGACGTCTCCTTCACGCCTTCACCCCCTGATCCCCCCACCCACAACACACCAGAGATCGTGAACAGCCTCCTGGACTCTAAAATATGGGACAGCTGGGAGGAGGAAGAGGAGGAGGCGGCGGCTCTTCCTCTCTGTCAGAGGCTGAACCCCCCCGCCCAGCTCAAAACACCAGGTGAGTGATTTCTCTCTCCCAACAGGACTGCTGATGTTTTGTGATTTACTCGAGGCACAATCGGGTGTTTTGTAAAACTGTATCCTACAAAGATGAGTTATTTTTCTGAGCACATGACAAGCAGAAACATGTATCTATTGCCACTTTAACTGGCTACATCTCTGATAACCATTAGTTTCTCCATAGTTTTGTCAATGTTCTCTTCCTAAAGTCACCATCTTTAAATGTGTGGTTTTGTCTGATCGACAATCCAACATGACTGGATGATAAATGTTTACAAAATTAGCTCATTTAATTTTCTCTCTACACTAAAAACTGAAACATTGACTTTAATTAAATGTATTATTTCAACAAATGACACATAATTGTATTAGGTTAATTGAAATAATATCAAGTTTAAATAAAAAAAATATTAGAATCAACTTGATAGTATTGCTTTCAACCAACCCAATACATTTAAGAGGAATTTGTTGACATCATTAATTTAATGAAAGTCAATGTTTCAGTTTTCAGAGTACTGTTAATCAGGTTATCAGGAGAGCTCCAATGAAATGCGTAGGTTAGCTGTTAAATGAACACACCAAACATGATCGGTGTTTAGCTACTACTAGTGGAGTGTTTTATTTTATTCCCATGAATGATTGACCAAACGACAACAATATTTGTTGAGCATTATAAAAGTTTTGATGACAAAAACCTTTGTGATTTGCATTTACAGTCAGACAATTCCTTCACACACAATCAACCTAAATAGTGCCAGTATTAATACCTGCTGCAGTAGGAAAGGGATGCGTACAGTTTAATCAAACAAAACAACCAATATCCCCTGAACATTATGTATGTATCTCAGTGTGGGAGAGGGCATGTGTTTGTTTTTATTCAGGGGAATTCAGGTCTGGATTTAACTAAAGCAGTATCTAACTTTGAACATTTGATTTGGCTGCATTCAGTTGTCTTTAATGTATGCAATTCTGATGCCAACTTGACACTGCAATGTCCAACAATCTCTTCCTGTTTGTGTCTCATCAGTACCATCGCGTAATAAAAGGCGCCGCACCCTGGTACCCATCACCCCCCTGCCCCACTACTCAGACATGGACACCCCGGAGCTGAAGACCAAACTCAACAGGTGAGGTTTACTGTCAGCCCTGACGCTAAAGAAGGGGTGAATTAGGGGTCAGATGTGTTTTTCTCTAATAAAGGCTATTAAGTGAGGTGCCTATCCTCTTACCTCCCACGGTGTGACTGCCAGATTAGTCTGTCTGGCTGTCTCCGGCCATCTGTCTGATTCTTACTTTCTCCTCTGCGCAGGTTTGGTGTTCGGCCTCTACCAAAGCGCCAGATGATCCTCAAACTGAAGGAGATCCACCAGTACACGCACCAGCTGGTCAGCTCGGAGGAGGAGGAGGAGGAGGCGGCCCCCTCGGCTCAGACGAAGCCCCCTCCCGCCTCTTCAGCCTCCTGCAGCCAACGAGTGCAGTTCAAAGAGCCCCAAGCGCCCGCTGCTGTCTCCCCTGTGAAAGCCGGCAGAGAGGAGGCGGAGCTTCTGTCGGCCTCCCAGGGCTCCAACACCTCCTCCACCGCCGCCAGTGAGGAGTCTGAGAGGTACGAGGTCTCTTCCAGTGTGTGGATCATCTCAGGTGGTTCATATGTTCAGAGGGCTCAAGCAATACTTTGTAAACTCATACTCAATATGACACCATCCCTAGACGTCCCAGCACACAACTGCACACTAAGAATACAAAATATGGACTTCTTTCAAATGCATCGATAGGTGTAAATATTTATAATAAATAATAGCTGCTTTATTAGCATATTTATTAGTCAACTTAGTTTTAAGAGAAAATTATAAACACTTCCTAGTATCACCTTCCTAAATTTGAGTTTTTTTGCTAAAATATAGTATGTAATTGAATGTTCAAGTTCTTTGGGTTTCGGACTGTGGATCAAACAAGCACCCCTTACGCCATCAAGTATGCCCCTTTTTTAAATAATTGTACGTAGGCTATTCATTTACACTTTTATTGTCTTAGTTGAAAGAACAACACAAGATAAATGTATTAGAAAGATTCTAGACGTTACGTATTGGTTAGATTAGGACATAATCTATAAAATGGTGGATTCTAAAAGTTAATTATTATTTATTGAGCTGCCAAAAAATACAAATTTCAGCATAATTTAATGTTTTTTTCTCAGACCCCCATCAAACTGACACTTTGAAAATCACTGGTGTATGTCACTCATTGATTTGAATGATTTATTTAGAAAAATAATGGTTTTAAAACTAGTATTCATTCATGTTTATAAAATATTGTCTATTTGGGAACAAGTTTGTATTTGTCTCTTCTGAGCAAGTGTTTCTAGTGGACACAGCTTTGGAAATAAGGGTGATAAGCTGTTGTATTGTCACCTTAATATGATACTAGCCGATTTGAAAAACATTAATACAGTACTTCCATCTCCCCTCTCTCTCTCTCTCCGCAGGTCCAACCCTGAGCTGTGCCTCTCCTCAGGCTCTGACAGTGACGGCGGCCTCTCTGCCTCCCAGTCAGTGAACCGTCTTCAGGATCGCCTCCAGGCGGTGCGCTCCTTCATCCTCTCAGACTCCACCCTCTACAGTCAGATTCTCCAGTACCAGCCTCTGGTCTTGTCGCAGCTGAAGGAGCGTCTGAAAGCAGCAGGGATCCGCCTCGCTGCCGCCAAGCTGGTGGACTACCTGGACTCTCAGTGCATCACCTTCACCACGGCCAAGCCGGGACCCCGCGCAGCCAGCCGCTGGCGGGGCAAGAAAACTGGCACCAGGGCAAAGGCAGCAGGCAGGAAGAAAGCTGTTGCAGCCAACATTTGAAAATGTATGACTGCAAAGACACTTTGAGAGGTGGCTGGTGTTATTTAAGGGCTTTGAACATTTGTCTGAAAATAACTGGCAGAAGAGGCCATGTTTGTTATGTGAAAGGTGCCTTTTCTTAAGAATGGCCTTTTGCTTTGACCATGTTTTTCCAAACCATTTAAAGATGCCAATGTTCCTTTACGGCAGTAATTATTATTTACGTATTTTTTTGTTATAAAAGAAAATGTTAATGTTGCTGTGGGCTATTTTACAATAGAGTTTAACACACTCCACTTGTGTATGCGATAGTAATAAAAAATGACCGCAATAGTCATGCATTGAAAAACCTTCAGTAAAATGTGCCCCGATTTACTATAAATTAAATCACACAAGACATTTTTCTTGAAAAACATTTTACTTGTTTTGGTCTTCAGTAGATTTCTACCCAAAGATCAGCCTATACATACAAACAGCCCAGAACGCTTGGTTCACAACTTCTATCAGGTACTTCGTTCATACCAGCGCAACCTTGTGTCAGCGCTGTCAGAGTTCAGTCATCTCGCTGTCGTTGCACCAGCTGGGGGGGGGGGGGGGATGGGACAGTTTGTGTTGTGCACCCAGTTATCTCTACAGCAGCGTGAAGCACAGGGCATCAAATCAAATTACGAAATTACGCACAACCCAACGCAGGGCCTGGAGAGTCACTCGCCTCCTCTGTGGTCTTGTGATGCCCTTATAAGGGAGCATCGACGCAGTGCTTCATGTCCCGCCACAAAGCCTCACTCAGTCAAGACAGATTGGCAATGTTGGCAAGGAAGCGCTGAGCCCACCACTCCTCCAGGTCTATGGGCACAAAGTCTGCAAAGAAACAAAAACAGGAGGAAAAAGAATGATCCGTGATCTATGATTGATTGATTCATTACTTAACACTGGAGCACAACAGGGCTGCATGTTGAGCCCCCTGTTTTTATTTTTTCATTTCACACAAATCAAGGGTTGAACTGAGCAACCACCACTACTGAGCAATAAGTAGTTTATTATTATTTTACTGAGTAACTGATGAAGTTACCCAAGACAAACAGATTGGACATTTATAAATGTTTAAACCAGACTAAGGGTCTGCGGCCATGCTAGCTGCTCTGTGAGGCTGCACTTTGAGCTAGCATGGCGATGTTTAATATTCATATATTTACCAAACTAACATTAGTTAATTAGCACAAACAACTAAGTACAGCTGAGCCTGATGGAAATGTAGTTGCAGGTATGTAATCATAAACCAAAGAATTGTTAAATTCACATTTCACTTATTACAATTATGCTGCACTGCGTTATATATCAAATGCACCCTATAGGACTCATCATTGTACACTGTATAGCCTAACTGGAAGGTCCTCACTTACTATGCGTAGGATGCAGCACTGGTTTTTATTAATGTATAAAGCCATTTTAGGTAAGCTTCCACTGTACATATGTGTCAGATTTGCCCCAGTTTGCGACTCTTACAACCTCAGATCCAGTGCCTGGATACGGTTCCAGGTTCCTGCTGTGCGGACTGAGGCTGAGTCTTTCTTATTATGGTCCTTGGTCTTGGAATGACCTTCAATCAAGCCTAAAACTGATGGCACTTGTCTCTATAGCATGTTTTAAATTGAAGTTGTCTGAAGTCCTCACCACCAGCTGCTCTTGCAAGTAGTGTACCTTTCTTACTGTCCTAATGTGCACAATGTAGTGACTGCTTTTTCGTCTTATGTTCTCTGTATTTTATATGTTTGTGTTATGTGTAACGTTGCTGCCTTCTTGGCCAGGTCAGCATTGAAAATTAGATTTTATCTCAATGTTTTTATCTGGTTAAATAAAGGTTAAATAAATAAAAAACAATTCTAGGGAGAACATGAATGCATTTACTAATGTGACACCATCCACTATTAGTTGAAACACTTCACCACAATTTTCAACCTCATGTTGGTGCTAGAGGTAGACTTAATCAAATAAATGTAATAGAAAATGCTCTTTAATCCTTAATGAATGAAGTGATTAGCTGGTGAACCAGAGCAGACAGGTGTGAGAGGCAACACCAGACACACTACTATCAGCAGTCAGGGCTGGTTTATCTGGTTCTCACCGACCGAAGAAGTGTTAAATATTAAGGGAGAGTATTACAAAAGCTAACCCTATGGTTACAGATAAAACTGAGCGGAAAAAAACAACACTGCATGTGATTCTTGCGGGAAGATGAAAGCAACCATTTTTCTTTCCTGCTGGGGTTAAAACAACAGGAATAATAAAAACACGGCAAGATTATGGCTCAAAGTTCAGAGGGGTTACAAAGCAGGAAGAAGGTTATCTGTACAGTTGCAGTAAAACTGAGTAGATTACATTTAATGAGGGCGGATTTACTTTGTTGAATTCTTTGGATAATTGTAGCAGGTGAATGAATGGGAATGGTGTGATCCATGTGAACAAGTGGCGATGCAGGTACTCACTCTTCATTGCAACACTGGGGGTCTTCTCAGTATACTGAATGGGCCCCTGGCTCTCAGTTGACTCCACACCGTCACCATCTCCCTTATTCTGCTCCACCTCCTGCCATGCTGCAAGTAAAAAACAAACATATTTACTAAATGACCTCATTAAATTTGAATTGCTTCCTGCATGTACTTTTTCCTTTTTTTTCAGTTCTGGAAATGAATCAAAGCATCAGCTGACCTTGAGCTGTCCCCGCTTAAGATAATATAAATAGTTGTAAGAAAGCTAAACTGTTTCATGGTGTTTGTGTTTATTGCTGTAACTGAAGGTTTTCCAGCTTCACCCCCCTGATAAGCCTCAAGGTTTTGGCTCTGTTCAAGGCTGAAGACCCTTCCACAAACTTCAAGCAACACATTATCAACTTCCAGTAAAACTGTAAGATTGGATTTCACATACCACCAAACCAGTTGTATGTGTATATGGGATATTTTATGCAGACTTGTTTTGAATTTACATTTATTTGTATTGTTTTTTTTCTTTTTTGTGAACATGGTCAGCTGGAGTGAGACACTTCTGGTTTTCTATCGTCCTACAGAAGAGGTTAATAGATGGGTGAGTGCACCGCTCACATCCATTCTGACCTGGACAAGAAAGCTTGCCAGAATGATGTGCATTTCAGCTTTTAACAACAAGGCTTGTCACTAAGGTCAAGGACCTGGTATGAATCTGTGTATGCAGACCTCGGGTGTTGAAGGTGGTGTCACCCTCATTCTCAATATCGGTGCACCGCAGGGATGTGTTCTGAGCCCCTTACTGTACTCCCATTACAAACAGGAGTATAGCCACTTGTACAACACATCTGGGTTTGTTTCTGGTCTCAGACAAAACTAGAAACTAGAAACAGGGCGCAGACCTCCATCAAGCCCAATACTGCATTCACATGCATAAAAGGACGCCACAAAGCATTCTGTGCTGGCAGCGGTCCATGAGAACCTCAGATAACCTCTTCAGCTCTGCAAGACATTTATTTCCATCTGGTTGTGAAGTATAAACCTCAAGATATGGTACATTTGCACAGCTGGTATTTAAATCTTGGTAGATTTTAATGACTTATACTCTTTTGAAGCCACTACTTATAACTATTCAGGATTGTGATACTAAATAGATTGCTAGAAGTGATACTAGCCATCTCCTATTTTTCACACCATGTCTTATTGTATAAATGCTCCTGTTTCAATAACATAATTTGTCTTAAGAAATACATTCAAATCAATATTAAAACAGTAGCGGATTAATTTTCTGTTGATCAGTTAGGTGAATCATTATTTCTATAACTTAAGAAGTACATTTTTTTTATACCTTTTTTTATAAATGGTTCGAATTCTGAACCCACAGCCACCAACAATCTTTCCCTCACAACATTGCAGCTGCCCAACCAGGAAGTTGTTGTAAATAATTAATTAAAACAAAAACCAGATTATCTACCTCTGACCTTGTAAGCTTCAGGATTGGCCCTGGAGCTCTGACCTTGCTCTCTTACCCACATCCAATCATGTAATGATCTTGAGACCCTCACCTTCATGCACAAATCTGACGTTCTCTTCATGTGCAGGAGTGAATCCCTCTGCGGGGCAGGGGCTCTTCTGTGTGGCTGCACCGTGGTAGCGCTTCCCGTTCAGACGATTGAACACGATCTTTGGGGGAGGAGAGCTGCAGAGATCACACAGAGATAATTAAAGAATGTCAGCTTGAGGATTGGGGCAGGCTGCATCACAAGAAAACACACAAAGAGTGCCATCTCACAGTGATGGGAACAAAAATGCTGGTTGCTAGTTTACAAAAAACATCATGATTTGTTTTGTGTAATTTGGTTATGCTTGTAGCCTTGGCTATTTCGCTTTTGGTGGAGTAGAGCATGGAGGTTACTTCTTGATATCGGACATATGTATTTGATAACCCAAAATATATTTTTCATTTTCTCTGTCTTTAACAGCAGGAACTTCAGAGAATATGATTTACACACAGAAAGACATTGCTTAAGTGCTTCAAATGCCAAATGTTACTTTATTTATCTCAGACTGTCAATGAATAACTCTAATATGCAATAGCAAGATCACAAAAGTTTGTAACCAATGCAAAATAAAATTTATTTATTTATTTTCTCGTCAATTGAGGCATCATTTACCAATCACATTTAGTTTCTCTGGAATGGATTTCAACCTCTGAAGCTTCATATTAACTTTGATGCAGATATAACTCTAAAGAAAAGCCTATACTTGTTGATCAACTGACTATTTAATGTTATTGCTTAAGCGCTTTATAAAATCACTTTGCATATGCATTATATCACACTGAGAGGTTTTTCTAATATTTTGTGTACAACATGTTGGTATTTCTGAGCAGCACATGCAGAGCCGGCCCGACCCATTAAGCGACATAAGCGGCCGCTTAGGGCCCCGCAGCCACTAAGGGCCCCCTAGCAAAAAAAAAAAAGAATGAAAAAAAAAAAAAAAAAAAATCTTTTTTTTCTTATCTCAGTACACCGTCGCCGTGATAAGTATGTTTAATTAATCTTGTTAATATGCCTAGATTGCCTACTCTCAAAGTCATGTATTATATTATTGAGTCAATCATATAATACATTAACCGTGCTTTACCTGAACCTCATCAT